CCCCCTCCCCGGACTCACATCTCAAAATTCAATAAAAGTTATAAAATCCGAACACCCATTCAACCACGAGTCCAACCACACCAAAATTACTCAAATACGATACCAAAATCTCGCTCAAATCCCGAAAATTCGACCTAAGAAGTTTTCTTCATTTGCCCCCAATTTTTCAACCCAAATCACTAATTAAATGATAAAATCAAAGATATAATCATGGAATTTAACCAAAACTAAGTAAGAATCACTTACCCCAATAATTCCTTTGATAATATCTCCAAGAATCGCCTCCAACCGAGATCCCAAAATCAAATTTTGTAAAATGACTCAAACCCTCATTTTTGAAATATTTAAGTTCTGCCCAGATGTCCTTAATCGCGATCGCGGAAAATGCTTCGCGTTTGCGAAGCACAACTATGCTTCCCCCACGAATTAACCTTACGCGAGCGTGAAAACCTCCATGCGAACGCGATGCACTTTCCCTCAAACTTACGCGAACGACTTCACGCGTTCGCGATGAACAAATGCACGTGACCCAGCATCTGGCTCATTTACTCTACGCGAACGCGACCTTAGCTACGCGTTCACGATTCACGGCTTCACTCAACTACGCGATCACATCCCTTAAATCGCGAACACATAGAACAAAAACTTCAGCTGCCCAATTAAGCCTACGCGATCGCGGACCTATCCACGCGATTGCGTATAAGGAAACCGGACCTGCGTACCAGAAAAATATCAGCAATCTCCCAAGTCCAAAATTTGATCCGTAAACCATCTTAAATCAACCCGAGGCCCCAGGGACCCCAACCCAATATACCAACAAGTCCTAAAACATCATATAAACTCTCTCGAAGCGTTAAATCATATCAAACAATGCTAAAACCACGTATCGTGCATCGATTCAAGCCTAAAGAATTTCTAACTTCTACATTTGATGCCGAAACCTATCAAATCACGTCCGATTGACCTCAAATTTTGCACACAAATCATAAATGACACAACGGACCTACTCCAATTCTCAAAAATAAAATCCGAGCCCGATAACCACAAAGTCAATTCTCGGTCAAACTTCTCAATTTCCAAAACTTCTAATTTTCCAACTTTCGCTATTTCAAGCCTAAATCAATTACGGACCCCCAAATCACTATTCGAACACACTCCTAAGTCCAAAATCACTCTACGGAGCTATCGGAGCCGTCAAAACTCCATTCCGAAGTCGTTTACACATAAGTCAATGTCCGGTCAACCTTTTCAACTTAAGCTTCCAACCTTGAGACTAAGTGTCTCAACTCATTCCGATAGGCGTGGATATCTACTCCGCATCTCCTGCTCGGTCTCCCAAGTAACCTCCTCAACTGGCTGACCTCTTCACTATACCTTCACTGTAGCTATGTCTTTTGACCTCAACTTTCGAACCAGCCGATCCAAAATGGCCACCGACTCCACATCATAAGTCAAATCACCATCCAACTGAACCGTGCTAAAATCCAAAACATGAGACGAATCGCCGATATACTTTCGGAGCATAGAAACATGAAATACTAGATGAACACTCGACATACTAGGTGACAAGGCAAGCTTGTAAGCCACCTCTCCAATCTTCTGAAGCACCTCAAACGGCCCAATATACCGAGGGCTCAACTTGCCCTTCTTCCCGAACCTCATAACACTCTTCATGGGTGAAACCTTGAGCAGTACCTTTTCTCCAACCATGTAACAAACATCGCGAACCTTCAAATTGGCGTAGCTCTTTTGTCTAGATTGCGTTGTGCGAAGTCGATCCTAAATTAATTTAACCTTGTCCAAAGCATCATGTACAAAGTCAGTACCCAATAGCCTGGCCTCACCTGGCTCAAACCATCCCACCGGAGACAGAAACCGCCTCTCATACAAAGCCTCATACGAAGCCATTTGAATGCTCGATTGGTAGCTGTTATAGGCAAACTCTGCGAGCGGCAGAGACTGATCCCATGAACAGCCGAAATCTATGACACAAATGCGTAGCATATCCTCCAATATCTGAATAGTGCTCTCAGACTGTCTGTCCGTCTGAGGGTGAAATGTTGTACTCAACTCAACCTATGTGCCCAACTCTCGCTGAACTGCTCTCTAAAACTACGATGTAAACTGCGTGCCCCGATCTGAAATGATGGACACCGGCACACCGAGAAGGCGAACAATATCACTGATGTAAATCTCAGCCAACCGCTCCTTAGAATAGGTAGTCCTAATTGGAATGAAATGCGCAAACTTGGTCAAATGATCCACAATCACCAAAATAGCATCAAATTTCCTAGAAGTCCGTGGGAGCCCAACTACAAAATCCATGGTGATACGCTCCCATTTCCACTCTGGAATCTCAAGCCTCTGAAGTAATCAGCCCGGTCTCTGATGCTCATACTTCACATGCTGACAATTTAGGCACCGAGCTACAAACCCCACTATATCCTTCTTTATCCCCCTCCACCAAAAGTGCTACCTCAAGTCCTGGTACATCTTCTCGGCACCCCAATGATTGGAATACCGGGGACTGTGGGCCTCCTCAAGAATCAACTCACGTAGCCCATCTACATTAGGCACACAAATCTGGCCCTGCATCCTCAACACCCCATCATCTCCAATAGTAACATCCTTGGCATCACCGTTCTCAACCGTGTCCT